TTCTTAATTGAGTTGTCCTTTTATTGTGCATCACATACGTGTTCAGGAGGAAAGTGGCTTCTTCAGCTATCCCAGGAATTCTAGATGATGTGTATTCTGTAGATTATTAAAATTTAGTGTCATTTCAGTTTTTCTTGGCACTAGTGACTTAGGAGGTGGACCTGGAATGTGTGTCTTCCCTGCGTGGAGCTTGGCGGGGTGTGGGGGGCGGTCAGGTGCTGGGGATCCCCCAGGTCCTGGGACTGCTCATGGCTGCTCTCTGCCCCACCCCCCCAGTGATGGCCATCACCTGGTCACACTAAGGAGATGTTGGGGGCATGCCCCGGGGGGGGGGGGTCTCACTTGACTTCCGGAGGCGGCGGTAGGGGGGGCCTGGAGGAGGCTCTCTGACCTCGGGTCCCTCCTCCGGGAGCTGGGCCTGATGAGCTATGGAGCCAGGCACGCAGGAGGGGCTGAGACACTGCAGCCTGGCCATTGGGTGGGCGGACAGTTGGAGTGTGACCGAGCAGTCCCTTCGTGGCTGAGCTCCGTGGTGTTGCATTGTGTGTGTCTCTCCACTGGCCGGCAGGCCTGTGGGTCGTTCCCAGGCTGGGCAGTTACCGCTGACGCTGCTCTGATCCATACGTGACCGTCTGCTTGTTTCTCCGGGTGCACACCCAGGGGTGGGCTGGCTGGACCCATGGTATGTGTGCACAACTCCCCACGGAACCGCCCCCGTTCTGAGCGTCCTGCGCATGTGGGTTCCTGCCGCTTCGCGTCCTCATTCACAGTCTGTAAGCCGTTCTTTGTGCTCGCATCTCACCTAGGTTTCTCTCAGCGCCGCTTCCTTGGCTTCCGCTGGGCTTGCACGTCGTCAGGTTTGTTCCTAAGCCTTCCTACCCTTTGGTGGGCTGTGTGCTGATGGTTTTAGAATTCAATTTCTGATTGCTTGTTGCTAGCATGTGGAACGCTGTTCTGTGTGTTTCTTGTGCTTGGGATCTGTTGTACTTCTTAGATGTAGGACTTAGAGTTTCCATAACATTTGGGAAGATTTTGGTCCTTTTTCTTTCCACAGTTTTTTTGCCTTCCTCTCACCCCAAAACCCAGGGACTTCAGCCCTACACGCACATATATGAGGCCCTTTGACTTGCAAATACTTTTTCCCATTCACATTGCCTTTCACCTTGTTGATTGTGTCCTTGGAAACACAAAGGTTTTTTTAAAGATTTCTCAGCTTTATAGAGATATTATTGACGTATAACCTTTTTAAGTTTAAGATGTACAATGTGATGATTTAATACACTTAAATATTGTGGAATAAGTACCACAGTAAGATCAATGAACAGTTTCACCCCCTCACATAATGACTCTTTTTTGGTGGAGATAACCTTTAAGATCTATCCTCTTAACACCTTTCTTTTTTCCTCCCTTTTTAAATTTAAATTTAAAATTTTTTTAATTATTTTTTTTTATTTAAAAAAAATTTTTTTTTAAATTTATTTATTTATGATAGTCACAGAGAGAGAGAGAGAGGAAGAGACACAGGCAGAGGGAGAAGCAGGCTCCATGCACCGGGAGCCCGATATGGGATTCGATCCCGGGTCTCCAGGATCGCGCCCTGGGCCAAAGGCAGGCGCCAAACCGCTGCGCCACCCAGGGATCCCCTAAATTTAATTTTTTTAAGATTGATTTATTCATGAGAGACACAGAGAGAGAGGGAGAGTCACAAGCAGAGGGAGAAGTAGGCTCCCTGCAGGAAGCCCGATGTGGGACTCGATCCCAGGACCCCGGGGATCACGCCCTGGGCCAAAGGCTCAACCGCTGAGACATCCAGGCGTCCCTTTTCCCCTCTTTTTAAAAGTAAACTGTAGGGCAGCCCCCGTGGCGCAGCGGTTTAGCGCCGCCTGCAGCCCAGGGTGTGATCCTGGAGATCCTGGATCAAATCCCACGTCAGGCTCTTTGTATGATGCCTGCTTCTCCCTCTGCCTGTGTCTCTGCCTCTCTCTCTGTGTGTCTATCATAAATAAATAAAATCTTAAAAAAATAAAAGTAAACTGTATACCTGATGTGTAGGGCTAGATCAAGAGTCGCAGGCTCCACCAGCTGAGCCAGCCAGGCACCCCAGCCACTTTCCTGTGTACGCTATGACATCGTTAACTACGGTCACCATTCTGTGCATTAGATCCCAGAACTTGTCCTCACAGGCTCGGAATTTGTGCCCTCTGACTGCATCCCCCCTTTTCCCCCCTCCGCATGCTGGCAGTCACCATTCTACTCTCTGTTTCTGTCAGCTTGGCTTTCTGGGTTCCACACAACAGTGAGAACATGCAGTGCTTGTCTTTCTCTGACTGGTTTTACTTCGCATAATGTCCTCAAGATCCATCTGTGTTGTCACAAAAGGCAAGATATCCCTTTTCCCCCTTTTTCTAATGGCTGAAGGATAATCTGTTGTGTGTGTGTGTGTGTGTGTGTGTGTGTGTGTGTGTCTAGCACACCTTCGTATCCGTTCATCTCCTGATGGTTGCTTAGGCTGTTCCCAGGTCTGTTGTGAGTAGTGCTGCAGGGAGTGGGGGGCGCTGGTGGCTCTTCAGAATAATGATCGCATTTCCTTTAGCTGTATTCCAGAAGTGGAATGGCTGGATCATAGGGCAGCTCCATTTTTAACTCTTTGAGGACCCCCCATGCTGTTTTCCAGGGTGGCAGCAGCAGCTTGCACTCCCACCACAGGGCATGAGGACACCCCTTTCTCCATGGCCTCGTCAGCAGTTGCTGTTTCTTGTCTTTTTTATTTTAGCCATTCTGACGGGTGTGACATGGGACCTTGTTGTGGTTTTGACCTGTATCTCCTTGATGATGAGTGAGCTAGAGCATCTTATGTGTCTGTTGGCCATCAGGATGTCATCTTTGGAGGAATGTCTAATCTAGTCCTATGACCATTTGTTAATTGGATTGGCTTTTTTTTTTCCTTTGAGTTGTATGAGTTTTGTATGTATTTGGATATAAACCCTTGGTAAGGGTGACAGTTTACAAATATTTTTCCCATTGTGTTGGTCTCCTTTAGTTTGGCCTGTTGTTTCTTTGGCTTTGCGGATGCCTTTCAATTTGATGTACTTCCACTCATTTATTTTTGCTTTTGTTGCTTGCACTTTTGGTGTTGTATCCAAAAAATTGTTGCTAAAACCAATAATGTCAAAGACCTTTTTCCCCTTAGAAACACAGAAGTTTACATTTTTGATATTGTCCAATTTATTTTTTCTTTTGTTGTCTGTGCTTTTGTTGTCACATCTAAGAAACCATCGATAAATGCAATGTCTCAAAGCTTTCCCTCTATATTTTCTTCTAAGAGTTTTCTCTCTCATGTTTAGGTCTTTGATCCATTTTGAATTAATTTTTATGTATGCTGAGTTAAGGGTCTAGCCTCAGTCTTAGAAACTTTTGATAAGGATTTTCTGTTAGTCATCTGTTAATTGACTTGCTCCTTGAGAACCTAAAGTAGAAAGGCTTCTGACACCTTGAACTCAGACCAGCTTCCTAAAGCCCCTGGGACCCTATCCATACTCGCATGTCCCCCAGTCATCCCAGTCCTGGCCCAGGTTCTCACCTCTGACTGTGTTCTCTCCACTCCACAGGCACAAAGGCAGGGATTTCAGCCGGGTCTGAGATTCGTCCCCTTGCTGCATCCTTCATGGTTTCCTATTCTCCATAGGGGACCCCTCGTTTGTCCCCAGCCTGTGTTCCAGGCTCCCCACACACTCAGGCCACCCCCGTGTTGCAGCACAGCTGGCTCATACCCAGCCCTGCTCTAGGAATGGACCCTCAGTCTGGTATGACATCCCTCCTGCCAGCCATGTTCGTCCTCCTCTGGCCATCTGTCTGCACCCCGTTTCCAGCTCAGACTTAGGATAGTGCTCTCCTGTGGAGTGAGGGGGTGGGGCTGGGAGGGAGGGTCTGGGTGGGAGGACAGGCATATGTGTGCAGGTTGGCTCTTCCCCTCGGGGTACTTCCCGGCCCCAGTTGGCCCGCCCTGCCGTCCAATGCCCTCGCTTATGCCTGCAGCCCCCACGGTGCCTCGGCTCCAGGCCCTCCCGGTGTCAGGACCAGGCTGGTCTTGGGGTGCACCATGCCCCCTCATGTTCTCTCTGTATTTACCCCATTTTCCTGACCTTTCCTGTAGCTGCTTCTGTCCCCAGGACTCCCATGTTTATCTGCCTGAGCCCAGGAACTTGATGTAGTTTGCTCATTTGCGAGCACTTATGATTTCGGTCTGCAGGACACGTGTGTCCAGCAAATGATAACATTCTATCAGTGAAGTGGGTAGCAATGATGAGTACGTACCTTCATCGGGCCCTTATTACAGGCTTGGCACTGGACTGGGGTCATGAGATTAACTCACGGAACTATTAGAACAGCCATAGGAGGCAGGTCATACTGCTACTCTCTTACATCAGAAGAAACCGGCAGCCCCGGTGGCGCAGCGGTTTGGCGCCGCCTGCAGCCCAGGGTGTGATCCTGGAGACCTAGGATCGAGTCCCACATCGGGCTTCCTGCGTGGAGCCTGCTTCTCCCTCTGCCTGTCTCTGCCTCTCTCTCTCTGTGTCTATGGATAAATAAATAAAATCTTAAAAAAAAAAAAAGAAGAAGAAGAAGAAACGGAGGTGCATGGTTGACTCATGCAGCTGTGGAGGGGAAGGGCGAGGGCTCTACCCAGGAGGGAGATTCAGCAGCTCTGGTACCACTGACTGCAGTAGCAGACTTATGGGTTTTACCATCTTTACATTGAATTAATATCTGTATCGAGGCTCCCTCACAAGCGCCTTGGTCAAGAGCCCCACAGCCCATATTGTCCTCACGGTGACCTTGACTCCCTCACTCAGTTCACCTCCTCCCCTCACGCTGACCTGACCCCCTCACTCAGCTGACACTGTACCCTTGATAACCTTGACCTCAGTTCATATCCTCTCTCCTCATGATGACCTTGATCTGTGTGCCTAGTTCACATATCTCTCTTCCTCTTGCCCTAGACTTTGACCCTCACCACTTCTGGCACTGGAGCAGCTTCGGGGACTATGTGCAATGTGTCCTGGCCTTCACGGGCGTGGCAGGCTACGTCACATACCTGTCCATCGATTCAGCCCTTTTTGTGGAGACCCTGGGCTTCCTGGCTGTGCTGACCGAAGCCATGCTAGGTGTCCCTCAGCTCTACCGCAACTACCGCCACCAGTCCACTGAGGGAATGAGGTAGGCTCGTAAGTGTCGATCTCACTGCACCTCTTGGTACCGATGTGCCCACATGATTGGTCAGAGTCAAATGTGTACAAACCTGGCTGCTATATCTTAAGTCCTGTTTGTACAGCTGCCAAGTAAAGAACAGCTTGGGTTGGAGCGCATGGGTCCTTTGGCGTCTTGCTGCCTGGGCAGATATGTTAGCATGGGACAGGTGAGGGGAAGCTCACGGTACTGGGTCTGAGAGCCTCTCTTTTAGGTTGAACCTGAAGCATCATAGTGGGAAGGATGTGCCGAGCACAGGAGAGGGGATGTGAGGGGAGAGCTCTGCCCATAGTCAGGGGGTGTGCAGAGGTGCCCTGGCTTCCAGAGGCGGGGGATGTGTGTCATGAGGGGCACTCTTGGTGATAGCTATGTGTGCTGTTGCCATTCACGTCTTCACATGCGCTCCAAGTAATGGGAGGCCAGTGTGGAACAGACCTTGGGGGCACTGGGGGGAGCTTTCCACTGTCCTGTCCCGACCCCATGAGAGTCACCCATGCACTGGAACAGGGTGTCCACCAGAATTACAGGGACCTTTGGATTGGCCTGTTCAGAATCTTTGTCCTTCCTGCCAGGTGTTCTTCTAGCACTTGCTTGCTTCCTGTGATGGGGAGCTCCCTCCTCAGGTGTCAGTATACCTGTGCAGGGGGTATGTTAGAGATTTTACTTATTTATTCATGAGAGACACAGAGAGAGGCAGAGACATAGGCAGAGAGAGAAGTAGGCTCCTTATGGGGATCCCGGTACAGGACTCGATCCCAGGACCCCAGGACCCTAGGACCCTGAGCTGAAGGCAGACGCTCAACTGCTGAGCCCCCGGGCGTCCTGTACCTGAATGTTTCATGCCCCTTTCCCTGACATCCATGCAGACCCTCAGCCCCTCCCAGGTGGGCCCAGGTGTGGAGGAGCATTGTGATCCCACCTCCCTGGAGCGTCTTCTCTGTGCTTGTCCCCCTCAGGCCCATTGGCTGCCCCTCCTGTGATGTGGCTACAGTCCCTTCCCTACCCGGTTCTCGTTGGATGGGTATCTATTCAGGTGAAGTGTAAAGAAGATGACTAGTGTGCTCCTGCGGATCTGAATGTGCTGTGGGAGGCCTGTCCAGTAGCTGGGGCATGGTGTCCTCTCCCCAGGGACCCTTGGCGCCTGCAAACTCACTCAGGCTGACCACTGACTTGTGGCCACAGTGGCTTCAGTGGGCTCACGTTGCTCCTGTACTGCTGCTTCCAAGCCCATCCGTGTGTGTGGCTGCACCTGAGCTGTCTCCTATTGCTGGTTGGATCCTGTAGGCATCTCTTACTGTATCTGCCATTTAGGGGATACCCTGGTGATTGAATATAACATTGTCTCAGTTTTTCAAGGCCAAACTTTCGTGATGGAAAAGGACTATCCAAGGGTCAGAGGCAGGCCAGAGCAGAGGCTGACAGTGACTATGGCTGGAGGCTCTGATCCACAGACACGAAGCCGAGTCCACAGATGTCTCTAGAAGGCAGAGATTCAAGCTGCTGCTGCTGCTTTTTCTTTAAGATTTATTTACTTTAGAGAGAGAGCCAGTATGTGCAAGTGGTGTAGGGAAGGGCAGAGGGAGAGAAAATCTCAAGCAGACTCCCCACTGAGCACGGAGCCTTACACGGGTCTCGATCTCATAACCTAAGATCAGACCTGAGCTGAAATCAAAAGTTGGACGCTCAACTGACTGAGCCATCCACGTGCCTCAAGATTCAAGCTTCTTAATATAGGAAATGACACAACAGCTTAATCCCCCAGCGCCACCAAGGGCAGGTTGCAGGGCACTCAAGAAATTACAAAAACAATTCCATTTATGGTTACATGAGAAGTATAAATACTTGAAATTAACCAAGGAGGTTAAAAGACTTGCACGACGAAAACTACAAAACCCTGCTGAGAGGAATGGAAGACCTGAGTAAATGGGAAAACATCCTGTGTTCACATCAGGAAGACTTGGTATTGCTAAAATGTCAGTACTACCCAAAGCAATCCCAGATTTTTTTTTAAAAAAAATTTATTTATGACAGTCACACAGAGAGAGGGAAAGAGGCAGAGACACAGGCAGAGGGAGAAGCAGGCTCCATGCAGAGAGCCCGATGTGGGATTCAATCCCGGGTCTCCAGGATCGCGCCCTGGGCCAAAGGCAGGGGCTAAACCGCTGCACCACCCAGGGATCCCGCAATCCCAGCTTTAATGGAATCCTTTTCAAAATCCCAGTGAAGGACTCAGTGGTTGTCTCAGTGGTTGAGTGTCTATCTTCAGGTCTGGGTGTGATTCTGGGGTCCTGGGATCAAGTCCTACATCAGGTTTCTTGCAGGGATCCTGCTTCTCCCTCTACCTGTGTCTCTGCCTCTCTCTCTGTATCTCTCATGAATAAATAAATAAAATCTTAAAAAAAAAATCCCAGTGATTTCTTTTGCAGAAATAGAAAAACTAGTCCTAAAATTCATGTGGAATATTAAGGGACCCCAAATAGTTAAAACAATCTCAAAAAAGAGTAAAACTAGAGGACTCAGACTTTCAGATTTCAAGGATAACTGCAAAGGTATAGTAATCAAGACAGTGTGTCATTGGCATAAAGACATGGAATAGAGCAGAGAGCCCAGGAGTGACCCTTACACATAGGGTAAAATGATTTTCCACAAGGGCATTAAGACCATCCAGTGGAGAAAGGACAGTCTTCTCCACAAATGGAGCTGGGGCAATGGGACATTCACATGTGAAAGAGTGGAGTTAGACCCTTACCTGGCATCCTAGATAAAAATTAACTCAAAATGGATCAAAAACCTAAATGTAAGACCTAAAACAATAAAATTCCTAGAACAAAAAGTAAAAGCATCACAATGCTAGATTCGGCAGTGATTTCTTGGATGTGACACCAAAGGCATGGGAAGAAACAAACAAACAAAAGAGACATTGGATTTTATGAAATCAAAAGGTTTGATGCATCAAAAGACTATCCAAAGATTAAAAAGGCAACCTACAGAATGGGAGAAAATATATGCAAATCATCTATCCAATAAGGGATTAATATTGAGAATATAGAAAGAGCTGCTAAAAGTTGATAACAAAGAAACAACCCAATTAAAAATGAGCAAAAGACTGGAAAACTCTTTTTTTCCAAGGCAGACATGCATGTGGTCAATAAGCATAAGACGCTTGGTCCCACTAATCAGGGAAATGCAGAGGAGACTTGCCGAGGCCCCACCTGGCCCCGGTAGGACAGGTAGGAGGCTGCCCTCAGACAGAAGAGCAGCCGGTGTCGGCAAGGGTGGTGAGGGCGGGAGCCCGTGCACGGCGGCGGTAAGGCTGGGCCATGCAGCCACTGTGGAGGAGAGTACCAAGCCACCTTAGAAATAAAAAACGGAGTCACCATGTGACCTGGCAGGTCTAGTCCTGAGCGTCTGCCTGGGGTGTTGGAAGCAGGGCCTGAGATGACTGTGTACCCGTGCTCACGGCTGCGTATCTCACGGCAGCTGACAACAAAAGAACCCGAGTGTCCATTGAGAGAGGGACCAGTGGATCCGCAAACTGCGATGCAGGAGTTGCAGCGTCACAGTCTGTCCGAAACCTGTATTTGGTCCTTCAGGTGAGCTCGGCGGAGGCTTCAGGCGGGTGGCAGGGCAGCACCTGGAGCGGGTGCGAAGCTCCCCAGAGGCACCGTTACTGCTTCTGCGCACCACTGGATGGGTTTTCGACGATCCATGGAGCTGTGCGACCACCACACCGTCTAACGTTACAACATTTCCATGACCCGGAAAGGAAACCTCGAACCTGCTGGTGATCCCTCTTCCTTTGCTCCCGGCCTCCCGCCCTTGGCAGCCCCTTCCCTGCGATCTCCAAGGGTGCTTCGCATAACCAGAGTCATGTTGTAAGATGTCTCTCGTGTCTCCTTTCACCCAGCGGTGTTCCCGGGCTCCTCTGTGTAGGCGCCGCAGTGCCTGTTGCTGAGACCTGTATTGTGTGTTTTTCAGCCAATAGACGCCTGGGTGTTAGGGATGCCGCCGCTGTGGGCATTCACATGCAAGTGTCCGCGTGGACCTGTGCTTTCATTTCTCCTGGAACATGCGAGTGGGGTGCTTGCCGGGTCAGATGGCAGCTTGTGTCTCCCTACTCAAGCTGCCTTGCTGGGTCCACAGTGGGTGTGAGGGTTCTAACCCTTGCCCGTCCTCACTGTCCTCCATGGCCTGTTGATTGCAGCCGCCCTAGTGGGTGTCATGCGGATCTTGCTGAGTTTGGTGACATTTCCCTGATACTAATGATGTTGAGCATCTTCCCATGTGCTTGTTGGCCATCTGTGTACCTTCTCTGGGGAAATGTGTGCTCAGTCCTCTGCCCAGTTTTAAATTTGGTTGTTTATTTTTCTATTATTGATTTGTAGAGTTCTTTATATGCACTGGCGGCTAGAACCTTATCAGGTGTATGATTTCCAGTTTTTCTCTCCCATCCTGTGGGTTGTCTTTTCACTTTCCTGATATTACCCTTCTCAGCACAAAAAATTTTAAATTTGCCCAAGTCCAGTGTATTTGTGTGTGGGTGTATTGCTTATGCTCTGTCTTACCCAAGGAACCACTGACTAACCCAAGATCACAAAAACCTACTCCTTTGGGTTGTGTTTTGCGTAGATTTTGAATTTTGGAGTGCTTTTGATGGGTGGAAGGGGGAGGGAGGTCTGGGTTGAGGCTGGAGGGAGCAGAGAGGGGCACTGGGGAGGCCGTGGGAGTTGGCCAGCCTGAGCTGGTGGGCGCTGGAAGAGGCTGGGCAGGCTGGGAGCTTGGCCATTGTCTCTTGAGCACCAATTGGCTTTTGGACTTGACTCCAAACAGAGCAGGATGGGCTGAGAGGGATTTTTGGAATGGTTTGGGAGGAAGAATGAGCCAATAGTGAAGTAATGGGAGCCTGGGTTAAGATAGTGGAGGGGGCAGGGGATCCGGGTGCAGGGGCCCTGCTGGAGTCAGGAGGGGAGAGGAATCCAGCCAGAGCAGGAAGGACACAACCTGGGGCCTGGGAGGTGACAGTCCAGGCTTCTGGCATCTATGGAACTCTGGCAGGTTGAGCCTGCTGCGTCCAAGGAGGCGGGGGCTGGAGGACATCCCGGTGTGTACCAGTTGTAGCCCCACTTCTGGGGTTCATCCCTCGTGTGGTTTGGGTGATGGGAGTTCAGGGCTCAGGGCAGTCCCAGGAAGCACAGGGGTGGGCACCTTGGGGTCAGGGGGTGACCGAGAGCTTGTACCCCTGGGCCCGGGTTTCTGCACAAGGACGGTCCTTCTTGGGGTGTTTGTTTCCCGCAGGGGACCAGGCAGGGACTGCTTGAGCCCCTACCTAGGTGGGGCTGTCACGTTCCAGACCCTGAGCAGAAGCTAGCCCGACGGCCAAGGCTGGGTGAGGTGTCTACAGCCCAGAATGTTCCTCACATCAGGAGGAGCTCTCCCCACTGTGGGTGGCCTCCCATCCCCAGTGGGGGGGGGGGGCGGGTAAAGAGAGCAGCTGTGCATTTAGAGCCCAGAGGGGCTCCGGCAGGCCCGGGTGGGGGGTCCTGGGACTGGCCTGCCTGCCCCATGGGAAGTGTGCCACCTGCCTCTGGGACGTCCCGGCCGCGTGGAGCCACCGTAAACAGCCTGGCCAGCTTCCCGCAAGGTCAGGGGGCCGGGAGCTTTGCCCGGGACCAGCAGCCTGTCCCTGGGTCTGGTGTGAGGAGGGGGACATGGCTGGTGTCCCTCCCACTCAGGCTGCTCCCCCGCGGTTGCATCACCTGCCACCTGGGTCGCTGTGACTTGTTAGGTTTTATATGTTTTGAGGGAGTTGTTTCGCCTCCTGCCACCATTTATGCATCTCCGGGGGAGACTGTACCTTGAGCTCTTAATTCTGTAAAATGGAAGCAGACTCATGTCTGAGTCACTGCTTTCTTGTCTTTGTGGCCATTTGCAGACGCCTGACTGCTCTTGGAGCTTGTCCTGGGCGTGCTGGTTCTGCGGGGTCTGAGTGGGGCCTCCACGGTGCAGGCAAGGCGGGCATCTCAGCCCCTCGTGCCCGGTGCCTGTGGCCTCCTGGGGGCGCAGACCTAACCCTGACCCCTGCCTGACATGGCCGTCCTCACGGGGCCCCTGGTTCTGCTATGTCCGTTGCCTTCCCCCCACTCCCCCCAATAGCTCAATTGTGCAGTAGCCAGAGCCCCTGCCCTGCAGCTCCAAGGGCACCACCTGCTGCTCCCTGCGCTCCTCTCCTGCCATCCAGCCCTGAGGTCCTGATGGCGCAGAGTCACCTGCAGGCTCGGCCCTCCTGTGGCCCCTGAAGTCCTCACAAGGACAATAGGGGCAGAGGCACAGCCTTGGGAATGGGAGGGCTCTTTATTACCTCGGGTGACAGATCCTTGTCCAGGGTTGACCAGGTCAGATGTTGGTGGGGACCCATTGGGGAAAGGGGGCCACTGGGGAACACAGACCCCGACCACTGATCTCAGGTCTTTTCATGAGGCCAGCAGCAGAAGCCCATCTCTGCCCTCGAGTACAAGTGGAGGCCTGGGCACAAGCCTGGGGGGCAGGTCAGGGGCAGGTTGGGGGCAGGTTAGGGACAGGGCCAGGTGGGCAGGTCGGGGAGGTCGGGGGGCAGGTTGGGGGCAGGTCGGGGGAGGTCGGGGGCAGATTGGTGGCATGTTGGGGGAGGTTGGGGGGCAGGTCGTGGGAAGTCAGGGGCAGGTCAGTGCAGGTCGGTGGCATATCGGGGCCAGGTCAGGGGCGGTCAGGGGGCATGTTGGGGGCAGGGAACCAGAGCCCCCTATGTGTGTGGCTGATACAGGTTGTCATGCTCTCCCTTCCCTGCCAGCCTCAGGCCTGTGCCCGGTGGGAAGACGAGCACCCAAGGGAGCCCCCGCGGCTCTGAATGCGGGAGGGGGGGTGAGGTTGGTGTTGGGTGTTGACGTTGTGGCCGATCTTTTACATCAGGGCCCCGTCCTGGTGGTCCCAGGTGGCCGGCAGGCACCCTCTGCGAGGGCAGGTCCCCCTCCCCTGAGAGCCAAGGGAGCCCATGCCTTTAACCTCTCCGTGTGCCCACCCACCATGTGGACCTGAGGCCTGTTGACCATGGGGCACGCATGGTGGGGCTGCAACACGGGAGCTCTTGGTTCTCTAGCCACAGGCCATGGAGGAGAGTGTCCCCGAGGCAGCTCAGGGAGGTGGGGGTAGGACATACCTGGGAAGGGGCCCTGGAATATCATGGGTGGGGCCCTGACTGGCCCCTGGGTGTGGAGGACTGGCCGTGGGGGGGGGGGGGGAACCTGCCGTGCACTGCCCACATGGCACGGGCCCCGGAAGCAGAGCTGAGCTCAGGTGCAGCTTGAACAGGACTGCGTCCATTGTCATTAGGACGGAAGTTCTCGGCGGGGCCTTGTTCTATAACATGCACAGTGTCCAGGATACAAACCAAAATTACTCGAATGAGAACCAGGAAACCTGCACAGCTCTTGAGAAGGCAACCAGCAGACTCTGCGGCAGCCGCGAGGAACCCAGAGACGAGCAAGGGCTCTGGAAGTGAATGGAAGCTGGGCATCTCCTCAGAGATGGCGCTAAGAACACCACTTGAGCATTTTCAATAAAAAAAAATACAGTAAAGCCCAACAGAAATGTACTTGGGTGGGATGCAGGAGGCAGGGGAAGATGCGTTTATGAAAATCATACATTCTCAACAACAGAGAAAAGTAGAGAAAGTACCCAAAATCTCACATTGATGTCATCTGAGTCTGGAGGAGAGAAGGGGTGGAGAGTAGACAAAAATAGCCAAAGAAACATCGAAAACTTTCCAAATTTGATGTTCAATAAACTTACAGATTGGACAAGTTCAGCAAATCCCAAACACGTATCCCGTCATAACCTGCTGAGCACCAATGTCACACATTGAACACAGCCAGGAAAGCAGGATCTGTTTTGGATAATAAATCTGGATTTCTAAAATGTGCAATTACCCACTAACTCAAAACAAAGGTCTTGAGGGCGGCCCAGGTGGCCCAGCAGTTTGGCGCGGGATTGAGTCCCACATCGGGTTCCCTGCATGGAGCCTGCTTCTCCCTCTGCCTGTGTCTCTGCCCCTCTTTCTGTGTCTCTCATGAATAAATAAATAAAATCTTTAAAAAACAAAACAAAAACCAAAAGTTTTGAAATGCTGTGAGCCAGAATCACAGCCTGGATACGGTGCACCAGTGGGCTTTTCTGGACATGACGTCCTGCTCGCAGACTGGCGGCGCACAGCTGCCCAGGCCTTAGGTTTTAGCTCCCCGCCTCCTGTCTGGGTTCCGCACGGCCAGTTTGACTCCCAGTGGGTGGAGGGCACGCAGAACAGTGTTTGAGCCAGGGCCTTGGGCGGGGGTACAGGAGGCAGGCTCCTCACTCTGGTCCTCGGTCCTAGGAACAAGAACCCAGCCCGGGGCGGCCGCTGTGAGGATCCCCAGGGCTGTGGGTGTCGGCCCCGCCCTCACCCTGCTGCCTCCACCCAGGTGTTTGCAGTCAGTGTGCATCCTCTGTGTTGGGGGCTCCATCCCCTCCTTCCCGCTGAGTGCTGGTCAGTCACCTATGTGACCAGTGGACGTGGGTCTGCTGTGACTAGACAGTGGGGCTCAGGCCCCCTGGGTGGCAGCCGGGGTGCTGGGGCCTGCGTGCCCAGATGTGTGTGCATGGGTCACGGTGGTCCTCTCCTTACTCACAGAGGGTCCCTGTCCCCGTGGTGAATCTGGGATGTTGGGGGGGGGCGGTTGGCATTGTGACCAGAGATGTAATCACCCTCCTGTGATCTTGTGAGTGAGGGGGTCCAGCCAGCAGGGATTCCCAAGGGCAGTGGCTTCCCTGGTTTTCTCCACTCCCCGTGGGTGCAGCCTGGGGACCCCAGGGCGGGAAGGCTTGGGGGAGAAGGGTTGCACACGGCCTGCCCGTCCCTGTGGCCAAGTGCTGCTTGCCAGCATCTGCGGGCTGTGGCTGCTGCCCCTGCCTGCTGGGCCCCATGGAACACCTTGTCGGGGTGGTCATCCCCCGCCCATTGGGGGCCACGGGGAGTCTCCTGAGGGGTGGGTGCTTCCGAGGGCATATGGCCCCTGCCACCATGTCAGCTGAGGGGCCTTGGTCCCCGTGACTGTGCATGCGGTGGCCTCGGGGTGGATGGGAAGGGTGCGGGGTCCTGAGCCCCTGTTCTGTGTCCTGAGCACCCCTCACCCTTGGCTTGTGTCCCCACAGTATCAAGATGGTGCTCATGTGGACTAGCGGTGACACCTTCAAGACGGCCTACTTCTTGCTGAATGGCGCACCCCTCCAGTTCTCCGTGTGCGGCCTGCTGCAGGTGCTGGTGGACCTGGCCATCCTGGGGCAGGCCTATGCCTTCGCCCACCGCCCCCAGAAGCCGGCCCCCCATGTGGCACACCCAGCCAGTGCCAAGGCCCTCTGAGGCATCTGGGGAAGATGAGGATGTGTGTCTCTCGCAGGGGCGCCAGCCCGGCTGCTGGGATCCCGATTGGCCTCTGTGGGTCCGGGTGGGCTGCTGGGGGCCTGGTGCCGACGTCTGTGCTCGCTCACCCTAAGGACGAGTGGAGTGGGCTTCATACCCCATGGCAGGGCTGCAGCCGCTTCCCAGGTGATGGACAAGCAAGTGTGTCCTCCTTCCTCCCAAAACACGCCTGTCTGGAACTTGGGACATGCACATGGACCCAGGAAGAGGCCGACCTCGGGCCGCTGCTGGACAGAGGGCGCCGGGAATCCTCCACTGGGTCCCAGCCTGCCGGGGTCTGGGGATTGACGGGCGGGGTCCCTGGGGCCTGCAGCCTGGGCGACCCTCACCAGGGGTGGGGTTGGGGAGCAAGGAAGGCGGCACAGAGAACATGGTCCTGCCCTCTGAATGGCCCAGATGGTGGGTGCCCTGGTGCCAGCGTGTAACTGAAGGTGATGGTGGCCGGGGCCTGCAGAGGGTGGCTGGGGCTTTATATGCACCTGCTCCTTGTGGAAAGGATGTCGCAAGGACGCCCGTTACAGGTGCTCTTGCTCCTCTGGCCGGACTTGGCCTCATCAGAGCTGCCTTCAGTGCAGCTGCCTCATGGGACTCAGGATGTGGCCCCAGGTGGCAGTGGATCCAGGGCTGTGCAGGGCATCCTGAAGATGCTGGTGCAGACGCCACATGTAGCAGGGGCAACCTGTGTCCATGCTCAGGGGGTTGGCACCAGAGCCCGGAGTTGCCCACGAGTCCTGGGGGTGCAGGGGGAGGTGGTCCACGTGTGCTCCCAGGAAAGCCGGGGGCCTGGGGTCAGGCCTGGGCAGATGATGCACCCCTGCCCCAGGGAGGGCCACATGTGTGGGCTGTCCCCCCTACATCCTGGGAGTTGCTCGCACCTGCAGCATAGGGCCTTCCACACGCGTCTTCCAGGGCAGGCAGGGGCCTGCAGGTCAGGAGAGGGGACTGTGGGGCGGGTGTCCCCACGTGCCGAGCTCTCGGGCCTGGGTGACCGTCCAGGGTGGGGGCTGGGCGGGCATCTTCGGTCGCCCTGCATCCCCCTCCCCTCCAGTTCTACATGAGCATCTCAGCTGTGCCCAATGGCCCCAGGCAAGCTCCCAGGCCGCCCACATCTGTGTGTTCTAGATGCTTCCATGTGGCCTCCCTTCTGTCGGGCAGAGGGGCAACTCCGGCATGTTAGCACAGGCGGTGCCAAAGCTCAGTGGTGTCTGCCCTCAAAGCTGTGTGCTGCTCCTGAGTTTTCCTGTGGACTCTTGAGTGTCCGCGTGAGGTTCCTCGCTGTGACCTGGGCTATCAGAGGCTCTGAGCACGTTTGTCTCCTACACACGAAGGGGCCACAGCTGTGACCGTGCACACCTGGCTGGGGAGACTGTGTCAGCACTGTGGTTTGAACACAATAAAGCCCTCATGGATCCAATGTGGCCTTGTGAATGGGTAGGGACAGGGCCCTGGTCAGGGGGCCTTGTGTCCTGGCCTCCCTTCACTTGGGGCCCCCAGGGAACAGCAGGCGCCCCTCCTTGGGGTCAACGCTGCCCCAAAGAGGCCCGGGCTGCCGTCCTGGTCAGACCAGCCCCTGGGAGGTGGGGCCTCCTGCTGGTGACGCAGATCAAGCACCAAGTGCCCCTGGAGGCTGAGAAGTGTGTTGTTCAGAGAAAGGCCATGTGGCCCGTTGAGGAAGAGGGGAGCCAACGCATCTGTGTTGCAAGTAGCGACGGCATGGTCTGTACTGAGCAGCTTTTTTTTCATGGAGACAGTTTACATGTGGGGGTGACATATCAACAATATGAAAAAGACACGGTGAAGAAACACCAAAGTCATATTTTAAGTTTTTGGCTGCGTCTCCACCCTCCCCCAGCACTGGCCCCAGGGCCGGTCCAGCCAGTGATGCCGCATGGCCCTCAGGTGGTGCGCATCTCCCGCATGGGCCTTGTCCTGCCTTGTGTGGGTTTTTACTTTCTTTCTGATGTGTGAATTAAAATTAACTTTTAATTATGTTCATGCAGTAAAAGTTCCAGCAGTGAAATGAGAAACGCAGGTAGACAAAGGTGCCTTTGTGAGCACATCCTGTTCTTTTAAAGATTTTATTTGTTCATGAGAGACCCAGAGAGAAAGGCAGAGACACAGACACAGGGAGAACCAGGCTCCCTGTGGGGATCCCAATGTAGGACTCTATCCCAGGACCCTGGGGTTACGGCCTGAGCTGACCCCTGAGCCCCCCTGGGCACCCAGAGTGCATCTCGATTCTTCAGAACTTTCCTGTAGCCTGTGTTCTGAGGCTCTGCTGAGGAGCAGGGAGGTGGAGTGGGGACACCTGTGCTCCCCGCTGAGAGGGCCTGTGCCTGGATCTGCACACAGCAGCCTGTTGGGTGGCACCAGGCTCAGTAACTGCACAACAAGGGGGACGAGCCCTCCCTCCCCTGGGGCAGCCTCTGGGTTGGGACTGAGTGGGGATAGCGCCCCGCCTGTGGTGAGGGACCAGGTGCCACCCGCCCCCGGGGCTGCCAGGAACCCAGAGCAGCTGGATGACTGTGAACGTGGCTGCAGCTCAAGCCGCAGAGAAGCCCTGTGCACACATGAGGCGGGGTGGGGAGTGTGCAGTTGATGTGGGGGAAGCCCAGACCCCTGCCAGGGTGGGATGGCGGTGGGGCCCCAGGCTCAGCGGGGGGGGGCAGTTGGGCCGAGATGGACAGCAGCCCTGAGGCCCAGGGGGTGCCTGCTGCCCCTGAGCATCGCAGGCCCAAGTCCTAATGCCCTCTGGAGCTCACGTGGCATGGTGGACCGAGGCCCACAGTTGTTGGAGCCCGTGTCCCCCCAGTGATGCCCTGGGCCGACTTGGGGGTTGCCGTGTCCTGTTCGCAGACCACATCCCCTGCTTCCCGCCCCGCTTCTGTGCATCAGCACCACACGCAGGCCTCCCTACCTGTCTTAGTACATCTTGTCAGCAGGGACCTGGCAAGTCCCTGGGCCCCTGACCAGACTGGGACAGTGAGGCCACCGCCCGAGGGGGCCCGGCCTGTGAGGGGGGCTGGTCTGTGTGCTTCCCCCTGTGGTGCACGTCCTGGTGCGTCCTGGAGGGCTCGCGGGCCTTGGGGGTCCTGGGCGGTGTCAGAGCCACTGCAGCCACAGTGAGGAGGGGCACAGGGGCAGATTCCTCAGGCTGTCCCCCCACACTGGCCTGCTCCTTGGAGGGACGCCCCGGGGTGTTCCTGGAGGTCTTCCTGGTGACACTCAGGAAATGCAGTTTGCCCTGGAGGGCATCAGCCCTGCCAGTTGAGGAGCAGGGGATCAGATACCCTGAGTGTGGCCTCCGAGCGCAGCGTCCCCTGGGCACCCGCAGCCCGCCATGTCACCAGGTAGCAGGCATTGAGCAAGCCGCATGCCGTCACTGCGGGAGCGTGGTCACCATGGGGTGTATGGGTACACGGGTCCACCCTGTGGGCTGGCAGCCGACCCAGCACATCAGAGGATGCGCCGCTAAGCCCTAGGTCCCATCTGCCTGGAGCCTGCACTCAGTGGCCCCGGCCCCCGGCCCTCTCTCCTGGCAGCTCCTCCTTTGGCCTTGGCTCCAGGTGGGGGCACAGCAGGGAGCTGGGGACCTGCCCCAAGGGGTGCAGGAAGTGGGCTGCAAGAAGCTGCAGATGCTCCTGTGAGGCCAGGTCCCTCCAGGACAGAGTGAGGCTGCATCCCTTCCTGCTTCAGGTGATGTGAGCATCTGAGCGGGATCGATGCGGGGGGGCGGGGGGACACGGCCTTCACCTCCCTGTGGTTCAGGGCCTCAGCCCGTTCTGATCTTGGTGAAGTCAGCTTCCCTGCTGTCCCTACAGACTTGAGGCGGAGCCCAGGTGCTCCAGTGCCTGCAGGGAGGAGGGAGAGGAGTGTGCACCTGTGGAGCTGGGGCTTGGGGTTTGAATCCTGCCAGATCCAGCCCTGGGTCCTCAAGAACCCCTGCCCTGGGGGCACAGTGTCGGGATGGGGCTCTGCCGTGGGACTAGATACGGCGGCGGGCCGTGCGCGCAGGGCTTGGTGCAGGCAGACGTGTCCCACCGGGTCACCTGCCAAGTCCCCGTGAGCACGGGAAAGCCCTCCCAGCCTGGGGTGGACGCTGGTGTGGCCCAAGGAACTGGGAGAGGCAGGGGAGTGGTGTGGTTTATCGGGCAACAGCGGCGTCCTCTAACAAATGGCCTCGGGGCAAGGCCACCCCCAGCGCCCCCTCAGCCTCTCTGGCTCTGGCTTCGCCCTGGGTGGGGGATGGCAGGGGGGTGCAGGGGGGACCCTCTGGGGTGGTTCGGGCGCTTCTCCCCGCGGCCATGGCAGCAGTGTCTCCAGTGTCCTGGCTCCGCTCATTAGAATAAAAAGTACAAAGTGACGTGATTTGGGAAGTTCCTGCCATCTGGGCTTCGAGCAGACTGCTGGCGCTTGGTGAGGACAGGCCTCCGGGAGCTGCGTCGGGGCTCCTGCCCCCTTCCCCTTCCCCTGGTGGAGGCGACCCCAGGGAAGGGCCCGAGGCCAGCTCGCACACCCTGGGCACACCTTGGGCTCCGCGGAGGCGTTTTCAGGGGAGCACGAGTGAGGAGGCATCCAGGAAAACCCCGGAGCTAGTGCAGGGGGCAGGTCAGAGGTCAGCCCCCCCCCCCCAGCTGGGTGGCTGTGCTCACGTCCCCCTTGTCTCTGTCACGTGCTGAGGTGCCGGCACCTGGGCCCGCCATGGCCATGGAGGACGGCAGCTGAGGCTCCACTGGGGCCAGGTGTGGCCTGTGGCTTCCCCTACTCGCTGGGAGTTTCCGGGCAGAGTCGGATCCGAAGGGAAGTAGGAGAGAAGGGCACGGGGCTGACGGGCCGGGGTGCAGGGCGCTTCTCACCCGCGCCGGGAGCCAGGCTGCGGTCGGGTCCGTGTGGGCTGGAGCCACATGCAAAGGGTTCCAGAGGGGGCGGCGAGGGGAGGGCCGAGCTCCTACTGGTGGGGCACGGCCTCTGCGCCCGGGCCGCAGTCCTGTACACCCCGGGGCACGGGGACCCCGCCTTGACCCGCGCCGCCTGCCCTGGCCAGCTGTCCCCCATGGCGGTGGCTGAGCGCGTGCTGTCCTTGCGCAGGGCCGGCGCGGGGCTGGCGGCGCACTGCTGCTGCTCCTTGAGCTCGCAGTAGGAGCGCGAGAAGGTGTGGAAGATGGAGGTGACCGGGAAGGCCATGAGCAGGATGCCGCCGAGGATGCTGCTGAGCGCCACCACCTGCCCGGGCAGGCTGCGCGGCACCATGTCGCCGTAGCCCACGGTGGTCACAGAGATGACGGCCAACCAGCAGCTGGCCGGCTCGCTGGAGAAGTCGCGACGTGCACCCAGCTCGCGCTCGGCCAGGTGCACGAGCGGCGCGAACAGCGCCACGGCCACGCACAGGAAGAGGAGCCGTGGCGCACCGTGAGCCCGAGCGGGCGCAGCCCCAGCGAGGGGCGCGCCAGGCGCACGACGAAGAGCACGTGCAGTGCCCGCAGCAGCCGCAGCCCCAGCCCCGCGCGCACCAGCAGCGTCGTGCCCCCCGCGACGGCGCCCACGCCCCCCGCCGCCAACCCCACGAGCAGAGCAGCGACACGTAGAAGGGCAGGATGGCCAGGATGTCGAAGATGTTGAGCGGCGTCCGCAGGAAGGCGCACTTGCTCTCCGCCTGCAGTGAGCGCAGCAGGAACTCGAAGGAGAACCAGGCCACGCACACGGTCTCCAGCACGAAGAGGCCGTGGCGCTTGGGGGAACACTCGCCCTGCGGGGAGAGGGTGGGATGAGGTGGTGGGAGGAGAGGTCATGCCCCGGGGTCCTTCTCGACCCGACCCCGGAGGGCGCACAGCTGCAGGGCCCAGTCCCCCTGCAAAAAGATCTCCGTAGTGGCTGGTGTCCCGCCTGGGAGCCCAGAGAAGCTCAGCTGACCCGTTCCCCAGCACAACTGGAGAAAATCATTAAAAGTAACCATTAAAGCCTCTAGAAACAGGCCTAAGGGCAAACAGCAAATGGAACATCTATTCAAGATAATGTACGGAAATTCATTCAAAAAGGCCAGAGAAATACCCCCTCCCCACCCCTAGCTCAGCTTGGGAACACAGGCCTCCCTTCACCTCCCTGCACCCCCTCCTCCCTGGGACAGTGTGCTTGAGAAGGGGGGCACCTCCCGCCCAGTCCCCACCCAGGGGCACCTCCTTCCCCATCCCCACCCTGGGGGCACTGGGATGGAGCTCTGCCCTGAGCTGCTCTAGGAACACCGAGCCCCCCGCCCTGTCCCTGGCTGGCGTGGGGAGAGGCTGGCCTGAGGACCCCGGCCCGCTGTTCGGCCCTCCGTCGCGTGCCCCCCCACTCCCCTCAGGGAAGCCTGGCACCATCCCCATACCCGACTCCAGAGCCTAGCACAGAGGTTTTGCCTGGGGCGCAGGGTGGAGG